GGAGAGAGGGAAGGGGGGAGGAAAAAGGGAAGGAAGGAAGGATGAAAGTGTGGAAGGAAAGGAAGGAGGGAAGGAGAAAGGAGGAAGATAAGGAAGGAAGGGAAGGATGGAAGGAGGAAGGAAAGAGAGAAGGAAGGATAGGACAGTGAGAGAGAGGAGGGCCTGAGGAAGGAGCCCAAGGGGCCGCATCCAGCCCCCGGGCCTGGGTTTGCCCATACCTGCATTAAGTCATATTTTTCTATCCCTGAAATTATGAATTCTTTCTCCTAGAAGCCTCCCAGTGAGGACCTTCACTTAACTAACAGGCTGCAAGGCCACTCTTGCATCTTACATTAAACTTAATTTTCAAAACCAGAAATGGACATCTGCAAACTTCAAATTTGTTTTAATTTTCTCCCATAAACTACACACACACATATATTGGCTGCTTCCAAAAATTGCGCCTCCTCCTCTCCGATCTGACACAGTTGTGCAATCCTAATGGAGATTCAACCTGTAGAGTTATCCCACCTTAAGGCATACAGATAAAAGAAATAGTCAAATAGGCAGAACATATAGAGATAGATATAAGTATTTCAAAAATCCAACCATTTTCACATGTTGTGTTGGGTAGCTGGTTTGAAATTCCTTTTAATGCCTTATATTAATATAGGTATTACACATTCAACAAAAACAACAGTTTACTGGTAGCTTCCATTCCACAAAAATTAGCAGAGTGAAAGGCCTAACCGCTGCAATGTTAGCTTCACATCAGTTCATTAGAAGCCAATTATCTTTTAAAATGTATATCTGTAATCACTGTTTGGCAAAGGTGTGCGTATATGCGTCTGTTGCAGAGATGACAGAAAGAAATCAGATGGTAAAAGTACCGAATAATACCTTGGAGTTAGAGACTTCAGCTCTTTAATCAGGCAGCACAATTCTTTAGATCATGTTTTGGCAAGTGGGAGCAAATGCTTGCGGTAGCATGTCTCTACAGTAGCCACATTCCACGGTTTAAGCATAATCTCCCATATAATCAGGAGAACTTTGGCTGTAGCAAGGACTCAACCAGACCCCATTTTCATAGAACCACAAACCAATGTCTGCTTTTAAAATTGTTTTTTCCTTTTAGATTTTAGCTATTTTGAAAAAAAAGAAAAAGGGAAACGAAGAATGGTTGAACTTTCCCATCATTAACTATAATGTGAACTCAGAAAACATATTTTAGAGGAACATAAAGAGCCGGCATGGTGTAGTGGATTCACACCTGTACTGAACTGTGGAGGGCAGGCTTCAATTTTCCAGTTGGACATAGAAACCCAGTGCCATATAAAATACAGATCATCTGCTTTGAACAAGATTATATTAGTCTACACTGCTATGTAATCCAGTTCAAACAAAATAATCTGGATTTATATAACAGTGTAGATGGGGTCCCAGTGGGTGTGTGTGTGTCAGGAGCAACCTGAGAAACTGCAAGTCGCTTCTGCTCTGAGAGAATTGGCCGTCTGCAAGGACATTGCACAGGGGATGCCCCGATGTTTTACCATCCTGTGGGAAGCTTCTCTCATGTCCTTGCATGAGTTGGAGCTGACAGATGGGAGCTCACCCCACTCCCCATATTTGAACCGCTGAACTTTCGGTGAGAAGTCCTGCCAGCACAAGGGTTTCACCCCAGTGGGTGACCTTGGGGAACTCATGCATTCACAGCCTCAAAAGAAAGCAAAGGCAAGCTCGTTCTGAACAAATCTTGCCAAGAAAAACTTGTGGTAAATTTGTCTTAGGTTCATTATAGGTTGGATATAACCTGAAGGCACACAACAATATCTCATATTTTTGGCTCAAAGGAAAAATAATAAGAAAGGCTCCTACTTACACCTTCAGCTAGGATCTGTATCACCCAAGGCAACATGAAAATCAGTACATTGCACAATAGCTATCATAGTTTAATTTTACACATTAAAATACAAATTAAAGTAATTATACTATTTAAACACCAGTTTAAGCAATTAAAATACCATGCTAGTAATAAACAGTTAAATGCTGAAATTGAGCGCACACACAAACACACACACAAAACTGCTCCAAATTCAGTACTGAATGGGAGCCCCCTTGTTCTGGCAAGACTGCTGAACAAAAGGTAGGCAGTTCGAATCTGGGGAGTGGGGTGAGCTCCTGTCTGTCAGCTCCAGCTTCTCATGTGGGGACATGAGAATCATAGAATCATAGAATCAAAGAGTTGGAAGAGACCTCATGGGCCATCCAGTCCAACCCCCTGCCAAGAAGCAGGAATATTGCATTCAAATCACCCTGACAAATGGCCATCCAGCCTCTGCTTAAAAGCTTCCAAAGAAGGAGCCTCCACCACACTCCGGGGCAGAGAGTTCCACTGCTGAACGGCTCTCACAGTCAGGAAGTTCTTCCTAATGTTCAGATGGAATCTCCTCTCTTGTAGTTTGAAGCCATTGTTCCGCGTCCTAGTCTCCAAGGAAGCAGAAAACAAGCTTGCTCCCTCCTCCCTGTGGCTTCCTCTCACATATTTATACATGGCTATCATATCTCCTCTCAGCCTTCTCTTCTTCAGGCTAAACATGCCCAGTTCCCTAAGCCGCTCCTCATAGGGCTTGTTCTCCAGACCCTTGATCATTTTAGTCGCCCTCCTCTGGCCACATTCCAGCTTGTCAATATCTCTCTTGAATTGTGGTGCCCAGAATTGGACACAATATTCCAGATGTTGTCTAACCAAAGCAGAATAGAGGGGTAGCATTACTTCCTTAGATCTAGGCACTATGCTCCTATTGATGCAGGCCAAAATCCCATTGGCTTTTTTTGCCGCCACATCACATTGTTGGCTCATGTTTAACTTGTTGTCCACGAGGACTCCAAGATCTTTTTCACACGTACTGCTTTCGAGCCAGGCGTCACCCATTCTGTATCTTTGCATTTCATTTTTTCTGCCAAAGTGGAGTATCTTGCATTTGTCACTGTTGAACTTCATTTTGTTAGTTTTGGCCCATCTCTCTAATCTGTCAAGATCGTTTTGAATTCTGCTCCTGTCCTCTGGAGTATTGGCTATCCCTCCCAATTTGGTGTTGTCTGCAAACTTGATGATCATGCCTTCTAGCCCTTCATCTAAGTCATTAATAAAGATGTTGAACAGGACCGGGCCCAGGACGGAACCCTGCGGCACTCCACTTGTCACTTCTTTCCAGGATGAAGAGGAAGCATTGGTGAGCACCCTCTGGGTTCGTCCATTTAACCAATTACAGATCCACCTCACCGTAGTTTTGCCTAGCCCACATTGGACTAGTTTCCTTGCCAGAAGGTCATGGGGGACCTTGTCGAAGGCCTTACTGAAATCCAGGTACGCTACATCCACGGCATTCCCCGCATCTACCCAGCTTGTAACTCTATCGAAAAAAGAGATCAGATTAGTCTGGCATGACTTGTTTTTGATAAATCCATGTTGACTATTAGCGATGACCGCATTTGTTTCTAAGTGTTTGCAGACCACTTCCTTAACAATCTTTTCCAGAATCTTGCCCGGTATCGACGTGAGGCTGACCGGACGGTAGTTGTTTGGGTCATCCTTTTTTCCCTTCTTGAAGATTGGGACCACATTGGCTCTCCTCCAATCTGCTGGACTTCTCCCGTTCTCCAAGATCTCTCAAAGATGGTTGCCAATGGTTCCGGAATGACTTCCGCTAGTTCCTTCAATACTCTGGGGTGTAGTTGATCTGGCCCTGGGGACTTGAACTCATTAAGAGCGGCCAGGTATTCCTGGACGACTTCTTTCCCAATTTGGGGTTGGATGTCCTCCAATCCCTCATCCACTTCCATCTTGCTGAGGTTGAAGACTCTCTTTTTGTGAGAAGACCGAGGCAAAGAAGGCATTAAGTAGTTCTGCCTTTTCCCTATCCCCTGTCAGCATTGCCCCATCTTCTCCTCGAAGAGGTCCTATCGCCTCCTTGTTTTTCCTTTTTCTACTGAGAGAAGCTTCCCACATGATGGTTAAACATCAGGGCATCCCCTGAGCAACATCCTTGCAGACAGCCAATTCTCTCACACCAGAAGTAACTTGCAGTTTCTCAAGTCGCTCCTGACACGAAAAAAAAAGCACTGAATGTAGTGGGGCTGAGAGATATCCCATTAAGATGGGCTGGCTTGACCATTTTTCTAGGTCCAAATCTAGCATAATAATTGCATAGTAGTTTTTTTCTCCTTCAGAGAAAAATAGCCCCTTGGACTTGAGATGTTTTGGAAGCCTCCACTAAGGATGATTATGACCCTTTTGCTCACACTCTAGTTTCTGTTCTTAGCTTAGCCTAATTCATGTGCTAAATAAAGATACTACAGTACTTTTGCTTTGTTTTTGTGAATCTACATGGGAGTGAAATAGCACCTGACATGTCTCCAGGGGTAGCATGCGTACTTCTCTTGTGTGAGTAAATCCTGCATGGTTAAATGCTCTGGAAGACTCAAAATGGCCCCATTCATTAGTGTGATAACTAGGCATCTCACACAATTGAACGCAGGAACTAAACTATTATGCCACTTTAACTGCCATGTCTCAATGCTATGGAATTGTGAGAGTTGTAGTTTTACAACGCTTGTAACCTCCTCTGCCAAAAAGTATTGGTGTCTCACCAAACTGCAGATCCCAGGATTCCATAACATTGAGCCATGGTAATTAACATGGTATCAATATACATTAATTCTACAGTGTATATACCACAAATATGCTTCCCTGGGGCATCTTTGTTTTTAGAAAGAGATATCTGGATATATCCAGGTATCCGAAAGAGAACTTATCTTTAGTAAAGACATAGGCAGTCCTCTGTTGTGCTCCTATATCTTGGAAGTATGTATGTATTCCACCAGGACAATGAAAGATCTGCTTTAGAAGGACATCACAGACATAAAAGCAGAACACCCTTTCCATCAGGAATCTAGTTTCTCCCCACATCCCTCAAAACATAAATACAAGTGAAGCTGTGACAGAAAATATTGGTGCCTACCTTGCATGTATGTCTCTATTTGTCTAATAAGTTCATAAGACTTTGATCGGTCCAGCAGCGTCCTGATAGCAGGCAGAGGGTCCAGAATGATGGTTTCCGGATGAGCATCAATATACTCCTAAGGATATGAAGAGATACAGCACAAAAGTCAAACATGTTGAGTTACTGGAAAATAGATATATTACAACACACCAGATGGTGTCTCAAGCACAGTTTACCTACGAGTTAATGCCTAAATTTCAAATTTCCTGGCAGCTTCTCAGAATTAACACACCATTTCCTTGGCAGCTTAGTAAATTCATTTTGTAGGAAGCAGTGATTTAGGTGATGAGAAGCTATTATTCCCAGTCATAATCCAAAATTGCTGGTTCAGGGTTTACAAAATATCTCATCCTTCTTATGACACACATCTAAATGTATATTTAACTATAAATAATATTGCTATTGCTTTGTGACCCATTTTAAGAGATAGGGCAGATATAAATAAAATATATGGAGAAAGGATGTGTAAAAGTCTTTCTTGAATCACTGACCAAACTATCTAAAATATTGAATGCTATCTTAGCAATTTAGGAAATATCACAGACGAATGTAGCTATTACAGCAGTGGTTCTCAACCTGTGGATCCCCAGATGTTTTGGTCTTCAACTTCCAGAAATCCGAACAGCTGGTAAACTGCCTGAGATTTCTGGGAGTTGTAGGCCAAAACACCTTCGGACCCACAGGTTGAGAACCAAAGTATTAGACGGACTTTTGAGGGTGAATACTCCTAATGTTTGAACAGTTCATAAGTCAATGTCAAAGTACATAGTCACTGTACAAAGCATTTCCACGTTCGAAGTCAGTCTATCCTTAAATATGAATTAAACAAGAGAAGGCTACAACTTTCATGCACATTTCATGTCTACTGTAGTTGTGGTTATCAAGTAGATCTAGACTACTATTTGATCCAACATGATTATTCATAAATTAAACTTGACTGAAGAGCTTAAACAGAAATGGCAATGGCACTATAAGCATCGTAACTGTCATCACTGGTTGAAAGATGCAACCATGTTGTGATGAGTCTATTCCATATTAGAAAGAATAATAAAATCATAGAATCATAGAGTTAGAAGAGGCCTTGTGGGCCATCCAGTCCAACCCTGTGCCAAGAAGCAGGAAAAATGTATTCCAAGTACCTTCAACAGATGGACACCCAGACTCTGTTTCAAACCCTCCAAAGATGGAGCCTCCACCACATTCCAGGGCAGAGAGTTCCACTGCTGAACGGCTCTCACAGTCAGAAAGTTCTTCCTAATGTTCAGGAGGAATCTCATTTCCTGTAGTTTGAAGCCACTGTTCCGTGTCCTAGTCTCCAGGACAACAGAAAACAAGCTTGCTCCTTCCTCCCTATGACTTCCCCTCACATATTTATACATGTCTCCTCTCTGCCTTCTCTTCTTTGGGATAAACATGCTGCTTTAAGCTGCTCCTCATAGGGCTTGTTCTCTAGACCCTTAATCATTTCAGTCGCCCTCCACTGGACACATTCCAGCTTGTCAACATCTCCCTTCAATTGTGGTGCCCAGAACTGAACACAGAGTGATTCCAGGTGTGGTCTGACTAAGGCACAACAGAGGGATAGTATGACTTCCCTGGATCTAGACTCCACTATACTCATATTGATGTAGGTCAAAATCCCTTTGGCTTTTTAAGCTGCTGCATCACATTGTTGGCTCATGTTTAACTTGTTGTCCATGTGGATTCCAAATTCTTTTTCATACATACTGCTCTCGAGCCACGCATCCCCATTCTGTATCTTTGCATTTCATTTTTTTCTGCCTAAGTGGAGTATTTTGCATTTGTCACTGTTGAACTTCATTTTGTTAGTTTTGGTCCGTCTCTCTAATCTGTTAAGATCTTTTGAATTCTGCCCCGGTTTTATTTATTTATTTGCTTTATTTCTATACCGCATTTTTCAGCCCAGTCAGGCGACTCAATGCGGTTTACACAATACAGGTTATTACAACAATGTCATAGACAATTAAAACACATCATATACAGCAGACAAAATCAACAACTATTATCAACTCATATCATAACGCCTCAATGAAATCAGATCCGTTCTCATAATCCTTGTGCCATTCCTATGTTCAATTTTACCGTCTTCTGTGTTCAGTTGTACTGTTTAGCCAAACGCTTGTTCATAAAGCCAAGTCTTAACCTTTCTCCGAAATGCCAACAACGAAGGGGCCGGTTTTGTGGAGTATTAGCCATCCCTCCCAATTTGTTGTCATCTGCAAACTTGATTATCATGCCTTCTAAGCCTTCATCTAAGTTGTTTATAAAGATGTTGAACAGAACCAGTCCCAGGACAGTACCCTGCAGCACCCCACTCATCACTTCTTTCCAGGATGAAGAGAAAGTGTTGGTGAACACCCTCTGGGTTCGTTCGTGTAACCAATTATAGATCCAGCTAACCGTAGTTTTGCCTAGCCCATATTTGACTAGTTTGTCTGCCAGAAGGTCATGGGGGACCTTGTCGAAGCCTTGCTAAAATCCAGATACGCTACATCCACGATATTCCCTGCATCTACCCAGCTCACAACTCTACTGAATCAATCCCACAGTCAAATTCAAAAGGCCCACAGCTCATAATTAAGCAAATTCACCAAAATTATTAACAAATTTAAAAATGCTTTCCTAAGCAAATAAAAATAAATTAAATTGCTCAGATACTGTGGAGGAAACAGAGGTTGTGATCTTTGAGAGTGTACATATCTAGGGGTCCTTGCTAATTAAGGCATATCCATAATAACTTATTTAAGACACCCAAACCTCCAAGCCTCTGACTCTCTCTGTCTATAGAAATTCCTCTTAATCTTTTCATGTTCCTATCTTATCTAGCACACCCATCATATTGACATAAACATCCTTGTAAGGCTTTTGAAAAGACTATACTTTTGGCTAAAGATCAACTTGACCCGGATACTTTATGCATGTCCTTTTGTCTTAACTTTTTAACAATGTTCAAATCAAATAAAAAGAAACAAAGATGTTTGGGGAGATAACCTTGGATCTTAAGGCAGATATTCAGTGTGACATCATTATCAAATATATTTGCTGAAAGGAAGGCAAAATGTAATAGTTTTGTTTGAGAATTCTCAATGTCAGAGACGAAGGGCATGAGCCACAGTGGGAAAAATGGGTAGTTGTAAGGTTTTCTATCACACCAGAAGACACAGCATACATAATTAAGCTTTTGGAAAAATGAAGCAATCTCAATCCAGTAGGCTTCTCAAGGGGGATCCCATCTGTTAAGTCTTCATGCATGAAAAATGGAAGTCATTTCTTGGGAGTCCTCTGACAAAGACATTATTGACATCAAAAGTTGATGGTGGCAGCTCCTGGGTTCAACATTTCAATTTGGCAAGGCAGTTGGTCTGCGTAATATTGCTAATTGCTGATTATCTCAAGTAATCCTTTGGCTTTTAACACAATTTAATAATCATGATTTGGGTTAATGTTTTTTCAAAACAGTTGATGCATTCGTGTAGTTATCGATTAATTATTTTTTAAACTCAAGAAGTATGGTGATGTAGTGGAGTGGGCAACATACCTATACATTTACTTCTGAACTGCACGTAATTCTTTTTTCTGGAAATACTCGCAGTGGTCCTCAACCTTCCTAATGCTGCGACCCTTTAAGACAGTTCCTCATATTATGGTGACTCCCAACCCTAAAGTTATTTTTGTTGCTACTTTTATGAAACGTAATGTAGGTATCTGATATGCAGGATGTATTTTCATTCACTGGACCAAAATTGGCACAAAAACTAGATATGCCCAGATTTGAATACTGGTACGGTTGGGGAGGGGATATTGTTATTGTCATTTGGGAGTTGTCGTTGCTGGGATTTGTAGTTTACCTACAATCAAAGAGCATTCTGAACTCCACCAACGATGGAATTGAACCAAACTTGGCACACAGAACTCTCATGACCAACAGAAAATACTGGAAGGATTTGCTGGATATTGACCTTGAGTTTTGAAGTTGTAGTTCACCTACATCCAGAGAGCACTGTGGACTCAAACAATTATGCATCTGGACCAAAATTGGCACAAATACTCAATATGTCCAAATGTGAACACTGGTGGAGATTGGGGGGAAACTGATCTTGACATTTGAAAATTGTAATTGCTGGGATTTATAGTTCACCTAAAATCAAAGACATTCTGTACACCACCGACGATAGAATTGGGCCAAACGTCCCTCACAGAACCCCCATGACCAACAGAAAATACTGCGTTTTCTGATGGTCTTTGTCGATCCTTCTGACACCCCCTCATGACCCCAGAGGTTTTGATCCCCAGGTTGAGAAACGCTGCATCCATAGTGTCCATAAGGAAAACCCTAATTATCATATATCCGCACTATCATTAGGCAGAGTGAAACAGTTGCCTCAGGTAGCAAATGTTAGGTTTTGAGAAAAGGAGCTTTTAGACGTAGTTCAGCTGCTGTCCTCTCCTTTTTGCCTTGTCTTTTACTCGTGTTGTATTTTGAAATGGTCATATGACTGGTCAGATAAATAAATAAACAATTTGCTTTTACATGTTGAACATCAGTTCTGTATACGCTATGTGATTCATTCCATGTCCAGTAAGCCACTGCCCTTGGGTGATGGTGAAAAATGCTGTCCCACCAGCAGTGCTGAAGCATCTCATTCTCCACTTCTCATTCCCAACTTCAATTACCAAATGGTTTGGGATGATCTTGATCTAATCAGTTACATGTGTATGAAAGAATGTTAGGCGAGACATGTCTATTTCCAGTTTACTTCTCAGAACCATAGACAGAGATGCTGTAACATTTTCAGCGAGGCTGCTTAATATTAATATAATCCCTAGCTTTCCTTTACAAAACACAGAGGGCCAATAAAATCGTCATCTCTGTAGAGCTTCCCTAATTGCATACATAGAGAGAAAACCTAACTGTTCTTGGCAATTGTAGTAGGCAAGAATGGAGCAAAAAGAGATGAAAAGATCACTGTCAGCCTTCCTACAAAACAGTGGTCTTAAAAGCACACTTCTAAACAGGCCAATTTTTGGATCTAGCTAATGCACCAAGCTTTTCAA